TGTTCTGTGGATCTCCTCAGTATAATGATTATTTCTTTGGCTGATGCTGTTTTATAATAAATCTAGATCGTATCTTTTTTTTGTCCCAAAAGGCAGTGAAATGTAGATGAAAACAGTGCACATCCCAGTGTCAGGAGCCATAATGTATAGGATCGATCTCATAGACCCCTGTCCTGGTACTCAACTACAACTGGTCACTGTTGTTTGGTCTGCCTCTTTCAACCAGGTGGAGCTGATCCTTGTTCTCTCTGCAGTCTCATTTCCCAGGCTGTGCATAAGAGAGCGTCTCTTTCAGTAAACAACTACAGGCAATAGGCATAAACGCACATTAATGCATAACCACATGTCAAGGTTTGAGTGAAAAGTAAGGAACGGGGCTTCTAAGAACCTTTGCTGAACAATGAATGCAACCTGCCATTCGAAGCAAGTCGCCTAGCTCGGGGTTACACCAGCTTTCAAATGCAATCCACTCTGCTTCCCAAGACACTGAACTGGTTTGCTGCGGTATAATAGCCCCTTTGGGCTTCTGGAAACTTAAGGGGCAGCAGGACAGCGAGAGGTCTGAGACCTTGGGCAGCTGCTAGATGACTGGATTAAACTCCAGCCCACTGATAGCTTGTCTGAATCCAGCCTCTCTCCATCTAGGGCAGTGAGTATGAAATGTATCCCAGTCAGCGCGGTAAACTTTCCCCATTGCAATGATTAGAGCTTCCAGAAACAGGAGCATCATGCTAGTGGCGGTGGGCCATTGATTCGACCGCCAGAGCAGAGTCGCCCAGCCCAGCTCCGCACAAAGCGGAGGGGAAAGACTGTTTTCGGGTCTATACACACACACATACACACACACACGAGAGAGGGGAGCCCCGAGTCCCGCCAACCTGTTCGGCATTGGAAGGTTCGTCTCTGCGCTTCCTCCAGTCCGGCCAGCAGGGGGCTCCTTCGCTCTGCCTAAAGCATTCCGGCTTTGGCTCCGACCAGGCTGGGGTTGGGGGGAGGGGAAGGGAGGAAGGCCAAATGTAAGCGCTAACGATCGACAATGAGCAGGCGTCATTGCCAGCCGTGATCGGAGCCGCACTCGCAGGACTCAGCTCTGCAGGGCAGGCTGCCCCGCGCGTGCCGCTGCCACTTTCCCTCCTCCTTACCAAAGCTTTGCTCTGGCGTCCTGCTAATAATCCCTGCTCGGCCCCCAGGTTGGCAGCCTGGTCATGGCAGGTGCCCCTAAGGCAGAGTCCTCCGCATGGGAGGGCCCTTTACAAAGCGCGCCCCGCTGAGGTGTGTGTGCAAGGAACAGAAGGACGTGTGCGGGGGGGGGGGAGGCGCACAGGCGTAGGCGCGTCTCTGGAGCTGCAGCTGCAGCCACACAATGGTGGGGCACAGCTAGGCAGCGCTGATCCTCGACTTGCACTTTGCTGCTGCTGCCGCCAGCAGAACTCGATGTTACCCACGCAACGTTCCAGGCGTACATTTCCCCTCCACTGGGAGATGCAGGGGCCCCTTAGCGCCGCCCGGACGGCTTGTTCCAATGGAATATATGATCGGTCTTAAGCATTGCCCTTTATCTGCTCCGTGAGCTGCATCTCAATGAGCCAGTTCCTGCACCCTCCATCACTCTGATCTGTCTCTCAGTCCTGGATCTGAAGGGTACTTGGAGGAGAGGGGGGATCACAGAGCTTGGTGGTCTTTCCCCCCTCTGGGGACGCGCTGGGCTAATGGGCCGTGCACAGTTTGCATCTCGGAACAAGTGGCCTTCCTAGGGAGATGCACTAGGGCGATAGCCCCTCTCAAGAAGCGCTCCCCGTTTTAAGATCATTAGCTGGTATTGTGCCACACAACTTCTCACAGCAGCACAAACGAAGGCATTTATAGCGCTTTAATGAGCGTCTCTCCGCCGGTTTGTCTGAAACATCTGTGGAGATGGTGCATTTTTATAAAGCAGCTTCTTTCCCTTGCGTTTGAAAATAGAACTCTGAGCTGAAAAGCTGGTGATTAAAGCGCGCGCACACAGAAAAACACCCGTAAGGGCAGAAAGTTCATTAAACAAAATGATCCGTTTTGAATGTTAAACGTTACCAAATGGACATGGAGGCAAAACTGCAATGTACTTCTCCGCAGGCCAAAGGACTGTTTAACTTGGTGACTGTAAAAGTTCCTAACAAGGCAGCATTTTATTCCCCTTACATATTCTGCTCTCCTTGTAAAAATACCAAATAAGAAGGAAGCAGCATGTGCGAGCATTTTCTTGGAGTTCATTAGACTTAAATTGCTAGGAGGCTAGGGAAGATTGCCTGTGCGAACATAGGAACTAGCTTCACCAGATCTTTACATCAGAGAGCGCGGATTGTATGGCGGGAAAGCCGGGAATAATATTTGCATTTAATTAAAGTCAGAGGAAGAGCGGTCCGCCCAGTAGCAATGCATCTTTCCAATACTTAAGATAGAAAGCCATAGGAGACATCTTCCTTCCTGTGTAAGGTAAATAAAGATTTATCCAAAACAAGAGGCAAGGTAACATTAAAAACTCCCTAACATGGGGGAATTCTTCCCCTGGACGATCTGCGAATTGGCCACGATTATATTATTGTAGTCATAGCATAATTTCCCAGCTCCTTTGTGACATATAAGTTGATGCTTCTAAAGAGATCGGAATATAAAAGATAAGATGCAATTTGCTTTAGGGTTGAGGGGCACAGTTGGACTCTTTCCGGCAAGTGGCCTGCTGCGCTGTGGTGACATCATTATGCTCTGCTTCTCACTGAATGTTGTCAGTCAGTTTATGGGGGCAGTGGTACTTTCTTTAAAAAAAAATTCACACTGAGTGTCAATATTTTTATTTGTTATTTCAGAATTTTATTATAGGCATTGGTTCAAACGTGACAACAAAGCGGGGAAAGGCTTGTTATCGTATCACTGATCTTTATAGAGAAGAGATGCTATTAAATTATCTTTAGCCTCGCAATTAATAATTAGACTGCTTTAGCATTTCCTATGACTCTGGCAAGGTACTTTGCATGCTATTGATTGAGTGTTCTGTTGTGATGGGGAATACAGGTCTGAAGTACAGCGAACCGTCACTGCGGAAATCATACCTGACAGAGAATCAAAATTTACTGAAATTTCCCTACAGAAATATGAAATGATCTCTTATCAAGAGGCAATGAACATTCTTCTTTGGGTGGCTGGGAGGCGAGCTCTGTTTTTTCTCCATAGGCAGTTCTAAGCTGTCCAGTCTAAAGACAGAATGGCTAATTTAGTGACTTGCCTCGTTTGCCAAGCGAATTCTCTGGGAGTGAGTCTGACAAACGTTAGTTTTAATAGGGAGAAAGTTCCCAGGTACACTCGGAAAGTCGGAAGAGCTCCTTGGCGCGAGGAGGAATCTCCCACTGTTTGTGTGTAATGTCCACCTTTTCCTGAGACACCCAGAGAAGATATACCTTTTCCTGAGATACCCAGTGGGAATTTGCCCAGGGAGCTTTCTTGTCCTATACTAATAAAACAAGGTTCAAAACTGGCACCTTGGCTCTTTCTGGTTCCTTGGCCAGAAGTGAAAGGAGGGCATAACATTGAAGGCACAGAGATGCTATATATTAACAAATCTCTCATCTAACGCAATCCACAAAGAGCACCTGCTTCTAAAACATGGGTTTCCTGATTTACAAGCTATAAAAGTCCAAATGGAAACAAATGTAATGCGAAAAAGTTGACTCTTTAAATATGGGGACAACGTCTAAAATAACGTGATTGCCATACGTTTCTTTCTGATGTGCAATAGCTTTGTCTAGGACTTGGAGCATGACCTGCAGAGGGCAATAGTTGGACGCAAATGATAATAAAGGCATTTTAGGCTCGGATCTGTGGCTCTGACCCAAGAATGCTGTGTAGCTAGGCAGTAGTGCTTAATTAACGTATACTGAAACAAAAGATCGGGTAAATTGTTTGATTTGTCTTTAGGCTACATTTTCAAGGCTAATCTAATTCATAACTGTTAGGTTTATTCTAAAGAGATTAACACAAACTTCCAGAAGACACATGCAGTTAACTCCAGAATTACCCTAAACACTAATTGTTTACTGGAACATTTACATTCAGACATTCGGATGATTATTTATTTACATATTTATTTATTATCTGCTGATTGTATGGTAAAGGTGGAAATGAACAGGAGCTTCCTGATGTTGCAGCGATGACAGGAGAAACGTGTAGACTCTATACAATGAGGATAAAATCACTAAGTGCCGTATTCAGTGCTAATAAGTCTGGGCACATGTGGCCATTTCAGCACTAAGCATGTGGACAGCAATCATCTTATTTGCATTATTTTTTATTTCCCCCTCTAAATTCTTCCTCAGAGAAATGCATGCCAGACTGTATTTGCTTTGTTTAAAATAATAAAAAAATCTGTTTTTTCTGGTCAGTGGGGACATTTTTTATTGTTAGTGATGTATTTATTAGAGACAAGAATAGAAAATAACGGTGGGGTGTATATTCTCTTCAGCTCGCTCTATCTATATATTTAAAAAAACGTCGGGAAAGACGAGAAACTGCAAGCAAATCGGAGTTTTGGCAGCAAGAGTGTCTGCAGATCTGAACACATTCACACACACCATCTCTCCGCCCTCCCTCAAAAATCATATTTAACTAAGATTATGTCAAATTTCAAGGATCGGAAATGTCTTGCCCAAAAGCCTTTCCCATAGGAAAAAGTCAAAAGGTTCCTGGCATTAAAACGACCTTGCGTCAATCCTGATGAAATTAGCATCGCTGCATTTTTAGATACTTGCTATGGATGTACTTTGATCACGGTAAGAAGAAGTAATAGATTTTTTTTATCCCCCAGTTGAACAGGAGTGTTCTACTTTTCTAGATGAGAATCCGGAGACAAACATGTTAAAGCCTTTTAGATTTACAGGCTGTGTTTTACTTTTCTTTAAATGCAAGCGATGGGAATTACTAACCCTGGTCAAGAAAATTTCATTTCCCCCATCCCGCTAAACGGCTCTGGTCGACATATGTTTGTTATCAGAGAGAGGTGCTATGAACACAGAGCCATTTTCTTAGCAGCTTTTTGACTGTATGTTACCATAGTCCCACGCGGCATTGGTCCTTTCCCATTGGGAAGTCATGAATAAGAGACTATGAAGCTTGCACGTCAGGTCTTCCTCAATTAATCCACCATTAGCATGTTTGGGATCCACTACTGGATGGTTAACAGCAGCTTTGGTAACTGTATGCTGTCCATAACCAATTATGCTCTGCTAAAAATGAACTCTGCAGACCAACCTTCTTGAGCTGTCAGTGTCTCCCGTTTTCCTATTTTAACGTTTGTATGTAGTGGCAGGCGACAGATGGTGTAGATCAGATCGATTTGATTGCATTAGGCGATTTTTTTCCTCCTCTCCCTCCGACTCCTTTTCTGGAAGCCCACATCATCTGAAAGGCGATCGCCGGGGACCCGGAAAGCACCAGCAGCCGCCGATGTGTGAAGGCAACTGGGCACGGCCAGCCAGAGGCGCCGGGCTTCGTTCCCAGGGCACAGTAATCCGGCACCAGGAGAGAAAGCCGCGTTCTGCTGCCCAGAGCCTATTCCCCGACACATATCAGATGACTCCCTGGTTTTACACACAGTTGGAGTTCTGCTTGAAACCTGGATTTAAAGGGTAAGCGCATCTCAATAGAGGTGGATTTGTGGCAGTTACTTGGGTATGTGGCGAGGAGCGAAATTTCAGAGATTTTTAACGGAGGCAGCATTTTTAACCAGGAGAAACCTTTCCTTTCTCCCCCTCCCCGCTGCCTGAGGACCCCCTAATTCACAATAATATTCCACACAGAGAGGCATCGCGTCTCCCCATTGATTGATATCCCCCCTCCCCTGAATTTCGCTCTGTTTGGCAAAACGGGGCAGCTCTCTAGCTCGGCTTAAACCTCTATTCCCGATTGCCTAATTGTTAAATCCCTCATTCCGCCCTCTCCCCCCCAGTCATCGCAATGATATTTGAAGCGGTGCCTTCCTGGTATATTTCAAGGGGGCATTGGCTGGGGGGCTCCGACACCTCCCGTTATTACAGCGGGGAAGCAGGGAGGGAGGTTCGAATAAACATGGCTTTCAAGAATCCAGGAACAAAGGTACTTAATAGCGACGCGAGCTTCGCTAAGGGCATCCACAATCTGCAGAGGCAAAGGTGTGAGTTGATCAGCAAAACGCCAGTGATGGCAGGGGATTTTTATTCCTGGTGTGTTGAGTGTGTGTGTGTGTGTGTGTGTGTGTGTGTGTGTGTACGTGGTCGGGTTGGGGGGGTACGGGGTGGGGGGTAGGGGA